AGTGTCTCACAATATAACACTATTTTTTTTCTAACTACTTCGACGTACGTACTTCGACATACATCAAAATCCGTTCAGCAATTAAGGCGGTATTGACAGACAAACATACAAACTCACAAAGAGCAACCTCCGTTTTTATTATAGTGGGACGTCATTCAATTTGCTCAATTTGTCCGTATGTGTTCAGTGGAGTGTATGTGTGGGTCACAGGGCCACGGTCACTGTTAGACTTTTGTTAAGCCTTTGCGAAACATCATTGCGGCCGTCTGGTGGTATTGAAATCAAAATTACTTACATGCTTCGGCACGAATGGGTTTACTCGTCCGGAGTCATACCACGGCCTCACAGAAAAACGGCGGCCGTGTGAGTGAGGTTACCGAAGGCCCAATCCTTCCCCTTTCCCAATGCCTAAATCTCCAAATGGGCGGCCCTGATTGCTTACCGTCAGGTTAACCGTCTGATCGTTTGCCGATCTATTACATAAAAAAATCTAGCTTATAAGATGTATATATAATAAGATATCTGGACGAGTTTCAAACTCTACCCGAGAACTGACACGAACTGATGAAAATGTATATTACCAACATTACATAGTATAAAACAAAGTCGCTTTATCTGACCTTGTATCTGTATGTATGCTTTTTTGTGAGGAAAAAATCATCAAATGACAATGAGGGAGTGTCAGACTCTTACTGACTAAAAACTCCCCGTTCTTTCTCCTAGTTTAGGCCGAGGCCGCGGTGCCTCATTGCGCTTACCTCGCAATCCCGCAACGCAATGCTTAAATCTTTAATCTTTCGAACTACGCATCGGATATTGACGCGGTTTTTTTTATTAGATAGAATTATTGGAGTGTAATGTTCATACGTATCATAACACCCATTAAATAGTGGAGAAATTTAGTATTACCTTTGGACCCGTGCGAGTCGCTAGTTTGTTAAAAATATTAAAAAATACTATAGGTAATACAGGTAAGTCATTATTATTGAACTAAAACCGCAGTAGGCCCAGTGCGGTCCAACCTTTACAAAGATATTGTGAAGATACAGGTTGACATTTCCGGTGGACAAAAGGTTTTTTAGTCTTATTATTCTTGTTAAAGGTTGGTTTAAGATTTACATCTTTTACGTAAGTTTCTATGCTCTATATCCTATATCCACGCTTTTGGCGGCCATGTTCCCTTAAATATGTTTTTGTTTTATTAAGGGTTTTATTGTTTTTGTAGCATTAATGAAACTCGTTGTGCATAATGTTGTATCTAATCGTAATTAATTTAAATTAACCTAATAAATACACGCATCGCACGCATCTTTAGCTACAGTTGGCTACTGAGCAAGTCTGGGTTGAAACTGAGGCAGTGGCAGGAATTTCTTTAATACACATACCTAAATAATAAAACATTCAGCGATCATACAAAAGACGAAGTATCTACAAAAGATATTTATTTCAGACGTTAAACGGAGCTACTAGTTCGTTTTAACAATAACTTGAAATACAAATGCAAGACGACAGATGTTGGCTGGAAAACTTCTGCAAAAATACTTCTCGTGCTGCTTCACAAACAGCTACGTGCCTTTAAATTCTAAAAATGCGAATAAAAATATTGGATTTCAATGCTGGATATGGAAATACCGCAAATAGTTTGGTGTTTAGACCAGTTTATAGGTCGCTTTATGGAATATTAAGTAAGTGTTTTGTTTGTATCGGTGTATAGCGGGAGCACGTATCCGATTATAAAAATTACATCTGTATTAATATTATAGAGAGTTAATGTTTGTATGTATGGTGTAATCTTTGGAACCACTAAGCAGATTTCCAATATTCTTTCATTGATAGCTAGCTACAGTGTTCTTGAGTGAGTCGAGCTAAAAGCTGCTGTTTTTAAAATCCCGGGATACATTACTTTTATGTGCGTGCGAAGCTGTAGTCGGAAGCGGCTAGTATGTTATATTATTTAAATTTTTCATATTCTTAGTCGCAAAGTCAAGCTGTCGATCCCAGTTGAAACCCTGGAGTCAGATCAAACAGGCTTACTATACCGTCCTATTAAATTGTGGATGGCAAGCGCTTCGTGGAAATCCCATGTAAATCCAGTCGAATCTGCATAAGACTCAGTGGTGGCCCCAACTTTACGGGGAAAGTAGGATAAAAAATAATTGTTTTGAATCAATAATTAATTCATTCCTCCATGGTATTCTGTATAATTTTGGTAGATTGGACATGGATGTACCAATCAATATGAGTAACAGGGAAGTAGCTATAAATCAATGTTATTATTTTTAGTTAGCAGTATTTTTTTTTACTTTTTTATGACTGGTTTTCTAAATATGTTTAAAGTAATTATAGTTTATGTAATTCTAATTTTGCAAACGTGCATGAATCGAGTTGCGATGCAAGTGTTCCAATGTCCAATGTCCTTCAATTGTTTATTTTATTGACAAAAAATTGTCTTAATTATTTTTTAATACGGCCAATGTTTGAACAGCAAACAATTTGCTGAGCTACCATAAAGCGATCAAATTGAGATTAGCAAATATTTCTTTTTACAAAATTACATAACGTTGTATTATGAAGTGAATGGAATTTATCGAAGCTGTGGTGTGTATCTGTTGCGGTATTTTGAATGTTGGTAAACCTAGAGTCCATATTACTGCGAAGCTCATGGTTGTTACTCCATGCTGTGGTTTCGTAATAGTTCCGCCGCGGTCATACGGTTACCACGGAAACTGTTCGCAAAATCGAACGCTCCCAATAGTATCTCGGTTAAACCTAGGTTTAGCGATGCTTCCTGTGCATACCGCATCGTATCTCCAACTGTTTAATCTGGATTTAAACTCCCTAACTTAGGCTTTCGATTTGTTTGCTTGAAATTATTGAGTGCCTTTGCTTATACTTAGAAAATTACTTTAAAGGGATGTCAATATTTGCAATTGGCTTCAGTAAGGGGTTAACAGATGGTTACATTTTATTGTATTATAGATATTGAAAATCGTCTTTGTTGTAATTGAAGTTAATATCTTGAAATTAGTTCGGTTTTCGGTGTAATTTCTTTATTAATTACACGTTTCTAGTAAAGTCTTTGTACTGCCACCAAATGAGGTCAGTCAAGCGTGTGGTTACATGTAAGATATTAATTTCTTTGCCGCGTGTTCTACTTACAAAATGTATACAAATTATCATTAACCATTTTAAGTGTACTACGCCAAGATGAATGACACGACTCTAATTTATTTGTACTGATTCTAAAACCGCTTTACACAAATGCAACATTAAATTTAATTTCGTGAGAGCATTATAATAAAACTGTTTGATTAATCCATTCAATTAATGTTAAAAAATTTCGATACTAAAAACGTGAACCAGTTATTGGCTTTATTATTTCGATACTTCTGTATACACAGGCGTCAGAAGATTTATACACTAATTAAAACAGACGTTAAGTCAAATGAAATCAATACGTTTGGATAAAACCAACGTAAATTAATATTCTCTGCGAGAGAGGAACAATGCGCATTGAGTATTTTTATTCTCAAGCCTCAATGGTACCGTGAGAAATTGAGAGCAAAACTGAACAGACCTCCTAGGCTCGATTGTCGGTAGAAAAGAAAGCGATCCATGGCTATCTTACTTAATCCGTCGTATACCTGCCAGATCAATGTTCGTTCTGACATCACAACTCTTTTGCAACTTTAGAACGTCTCGGTACATTGTCCAAAGAATTATTACTGTACATTACTTTAAAGTTGACTGCATCATTAGTATTCGATTTTCAACGGCAGTTTATTGTTAAAGTTATTTACATTTTACTGTTGAAATTATTAGTTTTCTGCTTATAATTGTTGGCCAGCGATTGGGTTCGGTGTTGGTGTTGGTAGGTCAGTAGTGATTACTGGCCCATTGCCCGAAGTCTGGATTGGTGCCAATTTAATGATAATAGATTCATCCCCAACTGCATAGCATTTGTATAAATGGCAAGATATATACGTATAGTAATGTTCTCTACTGCCCATTGGATTACCGAGGCGTGAAGTTATTACTAGTGTTAATAAATTATCTGTTTGGATTCGTAACGCATTTAAACATTTTTTTTTATTGATCGAACGAGTTCCAATTTGGAAAGTTCTGATAAAACTAAACACCGATTAAATATTTTATCTATTGAATAATTGATATCTGCATTTATTATTTAAATTTAATTAATGCTAGAAAATAAATTTGATCCTCATCAATTATTAGCATCGTTCTAATTTTAAAATTGTGGGAGTTCATAGATATCGATCTATGTTAAGTTGTTCGTAGGTGCTGGTTGCAGTATTTAGCTTAGATTATTGATTAGAAGAGATTGAGAGAGCCAATAGTAAGGTGAGTAGTATCAATAATAAAATATAGGGCGTTGCCAAAACGTCTCTTATTCTTATGGAGTACTAAGCACGCAGCACAAAATGCTGTCAAAGACTAGTATTAGATAATAGTTAGAGATGAAGAACACTACAGCAAAAAAATAGAGTATGAAAAAGTGATGCCATTAATTATTCACACTAAACGATGTTTCATGTAGTTCTAACACCTATATTTAATTTTAATTATTGCCATAAAATATATGTAACCTATTATTTTTTTATAAAAAATGTACATATTAAATGCAATAAAATGTTTTGTATATATTTTTTACAGTTTATTCATGTTATTAACGTTCAAGTATCTATTATAAATACAGATTAATTAATTGTATTTCCATTAAAGTTATGCCACAAAAATAGGCTTTACTCCGTTGATACAGTCAAGAAAGCTCCCAATGCAAAGCCATTTAATCTTTGGTAAGTAACTGTATCTACTGGAGTACCCACAGGCGGTACACGTTATAGATATAACATGTAATAGAAAGATCTTGATGTTTTATTTACTTCACCACTCCACTTTACTTTATCAAATTAAGTTAACGGCCGCTGCGGTACTTCTTGTAGGATGAGGCCTAAAATAAATAGAGACAGACGACTTACCTTACTGCTGGGATTGTAATCGTTCGATCCCTATTCTTATATGGGTCTCCGGGGTCCGCAGTAGTTAAAATTGCCGCATTCCACTGTAGTCGGGCGTGAGGCCGGCGCAGCTTCCCGATCTGGACCGGTCGAGCGGCCGGGAGAGCACTGGGCCGGTGGCGATCACATAAACTATTATAGTAACACAGCTGCGAAGGGGACAGTGTGGGAATTCATTGTTATTTCATAGAGTGTGTGTCGTGTGTGAGGCGAGGCGGCAGGCGGTAGGCGGCGAGCGCGCGCACAGGTGCTGCGGCGACGGGGACGCGCACGGGACTGGCGCGCGCGACACCAGCGCCCCCGCGCGCACGCGCGCCGCACCACGCCTGCTCAGCCCGCTCAGCCGCTCCAGGCCCGAGCCTCATTTACACACATGGACTCACACAATGAATGTTCAATGCAGACCGGCAGGTTATCTAAAAACCCTCGGAATACAAAACGGGATGGTCGCAGCCGCCGCTTGCTGTAATTCGTAGGATAGCGACGTGAATAACGACAGCTTGACCCACTTCCAAATTCACACAAATATTTCAGTGAGCTGGGAGTGGCACTTTGACGTAACAATACGTCTCGTTATGTATGTTATGTCTACTTGCGACAACATGTGTACTGATTTGATCTTTGATGATACTAAATCCAAACAATAAGACGATTCTTTCTAGTTTAAGTACATGTACCTGCCCTTTGTATAAAGAGTATGTTGTAAGAAAAATTTATGACGTATTTTCAGTAAGCTTACCTAAACTAAGAAAAACTTTACTGAAAGAATTTGTTTCATATAACACGTTGCGCGTCGTTTCTTGCAGCCCAAGGTTGTCCAAATGACTATCTGAAATCTTCCCGCAGTTCATTTCGGTTGAATCTTCCTTTTTATCCTAATTAGCGATGCTAATTAATGCGGGAGGATTACAAATACAGCAGACCTTTACCTACTTATAGTATAAATAGGCCAAGAAACGCTGAAAAATTGTACATTTCTGCAAAAAAAAAATGAAATACCTTGTTTTACAGAAAACCTTTTTAAAGAGGTATTGTGAATAGTTGTTCCCAGGAAAACGGTGGACATATCTTTGACAACAAAAGTCTTCGTCCGCGTTCCTTTCGCAGAAAAAGGCAGATTTTGAGACAACAAAAGCTCGAGCTATTAAAATCTTAAGACCATTTAAGCTTTAAAATTTTTCAGTTATTAAATTCTCAACATGCTAATACAGTAGGAGGACCAGTGGCTTTGATAAGAATGAATTTTATGGTGAAATGTTTCTCGGAAAATGCGAATGATCACGTTTTTTTATTCTTAAATTGAAAGAAATGTATCTTATTCATAGTAGATTATACCATGAACTATTTACATTGCTTTTATATGCTGAAACTAATAAGCAAACGCAATACGCGTGCACCTGCATCACCGATAACTCATATTATTACGTGTGAAGAAAAGACATCAACGCGATCGATAATCTTTAAAAGTTATTTCAAAAATATTTTTAAATTGATTAATTTTTAATATTTAAGTATAGTCCATTTCAAAGCACTTACTTATGTAAAATATGATTGTTTTCGTACTTTTTATTTGTTATACAATATAAATAACAACTGCATATTATTATATCATACTTAGATACCTACATTTCCAACTAAGCTACTTCTAGTACTAAAAATGTTATAACTACGTCAACGAATCTACAAAAACACAAAAAGCTTTCATTATACACGATGTACAAAATACCTATTAGCAGAGAAAAAAATATATTTCGTAGCGATAAGTCCGTAGCCTCGTAGCCGTAGCGTAGCGTAGCAAAGTCGTAAGTAACGACAGTTTTTAAAGGATCTTTGTCTTCTCTGGATTTTAAACCGACTTCAAAAAAAGGAGGAGGTTCTCAATTCGATTGTATGTTTTTTTTACGAGACCTTTCTTGACGAAAATAGGTGTTACCTGGAAGTCAATAATTTACGCTGAAGGACTGTTTTTTATCCACTTCAATTGACTGGGGATGACATGACCACCTTGGTTAGGTTAGATAGAACCTTTATCTGGCTTTTAATCACTGGTATTGATGGTAATGGCTATCAATATATTCCTGTACGAGATTTTGGGATAATATGTGCATTATTATTGACGTTATCACTGGTTGCGTAGAGGGAGCGTCAGATTCTTACAGAAAGAAAACCACCTCGTCGCTTCTCTTGCTTCGGTCCGTGCCGCAGAATACTATAGCGCTGGCATCCCTTACAAGGCTAGTTACATACCTAGCGCAATTCAGAATTTGTGCTTTGAACGCGTCTCAGCCTTGTAGCTCCGATAGTAACCATGCAAGTGTGGGAGAGCCATGCTTCGGCACGAATGGGGCAGCTCGACCGGAGTGATACCACGGTCTCACAGAAAACCATCGTGAAACAAACACAGCGTTGTGTTCCGCCGTGTGAGTGGGGTTACCGGAGGCCCAATCCTTCCCCTCCCCAATGCCTAAATCTCTAAAACCTCCGTAAAACCTCGTGTTCTATACATAGAACGCATATAGTGTATTTTTACAGAGTATTTACGCACAGACTATTTTTCTGTAGTATGCAATAGTTTCTCTATAACATAAATATCTATTTCACTCGGTACCTTTTTGTCTAGTTCGGTTACGATTTCATCTGTAATTACAAATACTATACAATAGTTATTTAAATAATATACTTTATAAATAAACAGCGGCGGGGCAAGCCCTAAATTTGATGTGGGCAAGACAGACTTCGCGAGGCCCTGTTCTATGGCGACCCAAAGACGGATTTTATAAAATAATAAAAACAAACAAAACAATTAACACTGCCAAGTTTTTATTCAGAAAAATACAAATTAGGTTAATAAGTATTAATGAAAAATTACAAATCGTAAATATAAAGGTGGAGATATACATTTCTTAGCGTATACTTAAAAATCATTAGTCTTCTTTATTAAAGGAACAGAAATTTCCTGCTTTTAACTTTACTAAATTCCTTAATTATGGTATCGTAATTCAGCCTAGATGCCAAGTCTGATTCAATTGATAAAACAGCCAAAGCTGAAAGTCTTTCTTGGCTCATTGTGTTTCTCAAATAATTTTTTATTAATTTTAATTTAGAAAAACTTTTTTCAGCAAAGGCTGTTCTTACTATAACTTAATATTTGGGTAAATTTCTTGTAAGTTATTTTCTGTTATGTATGACAGCATCTGTTTCACGTCTTTAATGAAGTTGGGTAAATTCGGGATCATTGTATTTAATTCTTCATATAATTCAAATGGTTGGAAATCACTGCCCTCACCCACACGCAGGACGTCATGTAAATCGTTTAAAAATCTGTTTGATACCGGATTTTGGGAGACTGTATAGGTTGATCGCTGCTTTTATAATCGAACATCCTTTTCTTTTTGGCTACTCTTTTATTCCTAAACTCTTTTGGCAGGTTATAACAGCTTCGCTCGTTAAATTTCCGAAACATCAGACAGGGATTTTTCAAATCCTGTTTCCCGATACTCTTTTGTCTATTCACAAAATGTGTGTAAACGTGTAGATAATAAGTATTAGTAAGGATTTAATAAAAAAAAAACAAGACGGCTTTTAAATTATGGCAGTAACGAAAACGATTGTTTTCCTTAAACTACTGATAATAAACCTTACGTGACAATTATTTTTCAGTAACTAGAAATGTATGAATTAAGATTTAAAAAATACTAAGACTAATAACTGTTTGAGAGAGAAATATTTTGATTAATAACAGTTTTTACTAACATTAATAAAAAAGAAATTATTTTTTCTTAGTGACTGTACATGCGCGACCGTTAGAAAGAGCTAACTTCAGGCCGGTCAAGTAAGATCGCGCGTAATGTACATTTCTATTGTTGCGACTTGCGTACTTTGATTTGATTGGTTGTCTTCCTAGTAAAGAAAGTAAACAAAATAAAACCAGGGATTCCCCGCATGTTTTTTATTTATTTATTAAGGCATTGGAACTCTGGTCGGTCGGCGGCAAATGTTTCTAGCCTAAGAAAACATGTTTCACAACAGTTCTCTCCTAAAAATTATAACAGTTCATAATATTGTCGATTAGGTATTTCAACAAGGACAATAAATTTTTGAGCTCGATAAGCTCAAAAATGACGCATTAGATAAAATTTAAACGCTTAGCGGGAAGTTGCACGGATAGCCTTTAGGTGAATTGATTTCCAATTTTTTTTTATATTTTTTTTCGCTTTAAAAAATTTCGAGGCGCGAGGCCCCTTGTACCGCGAGGCCGTAGGCGGTGGCCCACGTCGCCCACGCCTTACGCCGCCTCTGTAAATAAAAACCGTATAAATTAACTATTTCATTGCAGCGCAAAAAAATGTTGCACAGCACTATATGATGTCACTTAAGACACTTCATATGAGAATGTCATTTTTATTTTGACATTCCTTATCGACCAGCTGATATGGAATTGACAGAAAACTCAGTATTATTGTATTTATTGTTTGTTTTTAATATTAAATTGCTATTTGTTATCTGAAATATAAAATAATTGGAATACACACACTGAACAGTTGTGTTATTTTCTTTAACAGTGCTCTGTATTTCTCAAATTGTTTCCAAAATGTCGAAGCAAAACATTATGTTTCATCCGATAATCAGCTCCATTCAACGAATTGCACTATATGAAACTAAAGCGGTATGTAAACAATACTTTTTTGAGAAAATCAAATTATAACACTAATCTATAGTAGAATATAAACCCTAAACAGAACTTTCTTATAGATAATATCTTTCATCTTTCTTAGACTAAACATGATTTGGCAAGTGTTAATTTTGGGGGTGTATACATACCTACTGAACATTTCTACTAGTACTAAAAATATATATTTCAAACTAAAGAAATAAATCTAACAGTTTTAAAACTTTTTCGAGCAATATAATATTTTTGATTCTTTTTTTTTGCAGAGATTTTATTTGATTGGTTCTAATAACACAGAAACGAGATTTCGTGTCCTCAAAATTGATAGGACGGACCCCCGAGAATTAATACTGGTTGATGACAAGTTTGAATACAATAAGCAGGAGATACATCAGCTCCTCAACATGATAGGTTTTGG